AAAAAAAAAAAAAAAAAAAAAAAATGAATAGAGTTGGGCTTGGTGGCACACACCTGTAATCCCAGTACTTGAGAGGCTGAGGCAGGAGGATCAGTGGGAGTTCAAGGCCTCCCTGAAGTACATAGCAAAACCCAGTCTCAAACAATCAAACAAAAGAACAGTCATTACAAATTAATATTGGTAGCACATGTTCTTATTCTTTGCAGTTAACTAACAATAATTTATATCTGCTCAGCATTTATGTTGTGCCATATACTGTACTGTTACATAATTTATGTATAATCTTTAATCACCCTGTTAGGTAGGTCAAATCTCCATTTATTCTTTTCTTTTTTTTTGAGACAGGGTTTTACTGTGTAGTTGAGACTGACCTGGAACTCACTAGGTAGCCCAGGCTAGTCTGGAACTCACAGTGATCCTCCTGCCTCAGCCTCCCAAGTGCTGAGATTACAGGCGTGCACTACCACACCTGGCTCCATTTATTCTTAAGCTGAACCCCAGAGAGGTGAAGAAACTACATATGTAATATAGAGAAAACATGATCTTTCAAAAAGATCATAGGAAGTCTTAGTTTTTGTTTTAAAATAACAGCCCACTTATTTGGCAAGGTAATGAAAACAATCTTGGATCTTCTGGTCTCTTTAAAACTCAGGAAATTAGCTGATGTAGTTGCATTATAATGGCAGTGTTAGTCCAGAAGGTAGAGATAGAAGTATCATGTCTCTTGAGTGTCCATAGCTCTTTTGTCTATAGTTGAGAAAACTATGGCTTCAACTCATTAATGTCATAATTTATTCATATTTCTTTTTTAAATTATTCAAACATGTTTATAAGAATTGAATTAGTGGGGATGAGGATTTAGCTTAGTGGTGCCTTACTGCCTCACAAGCACAAGGTCCTGAGTTCAATCCCCAGTACCAAAAAAAAAATTTAAATCATTGATTTTTCAGAAATTCAACTTTTATCTTTCTGCCCCTTACGTATATTGTATTACTAAAATTTGTTTTTCTGGACCAAATGAGATTATTTAATAATTTACTATTTCCTATCACTTTTCATTTAAAATATTTAAATTAATATAGTTTCAGTAGCAAAAGGCTAAATTCCTTTGAAGTAATAGAATGGGAAACTGCTGATCTGAAATTGAATGGTATTCTTTTGTTTGTTTATTGGATTTTTTTTTTTCCTTTTTTTTTTTTGGTGCGGGGGATTGACCTTGGGTCCTTGCACTTGTGAGACAGACGGCAAAACCACTGAGCTAAATCCCCAGCCCTGAATGGTATTCTTAATTATAAATGAGACCTCAGGTGATCTTACTGGTTTTTGAGTACGGTACTGCAACATAACCAACTTTTTATAGTCTTAAATTTCTTTGATCCTGCTTCCACACAAATCTGATCTAATTTTTTCCCAGATTATTTAGCAATCAACAAATACTTAGCATGATTTTTTTAATTATCTGTAACCATTAATTAATTGTCAGGATGTTAACTATGAGAGTAATTTTATTTTATTTTGGGAGACTTTTTCTGCTTGGTAGCAATAGATTAGTGTAATCTTCGCTCCCAAATATTACCTCACTCTATGCCTTAAGTTTTATCATAAAAAAATAAATAAAATGCAGGGCCAGGGGTTTAGCTCGGTGGATCTGCCACCTGCCTTGCAAGCTCAAGGTCCCTAGTTCGATCCCTGGTCCCAAATAAAGAAATTAAGAAAGAGCAATTTACCGTGGAAAGTGGATGGTTGGAAATGAATATAAGAAAATATTAGTCAGATTTTTGTGTTTCCTCTGTGTTTTTCATACTCTAAAATGGATGTTATACTGAGCAATTTGCTTCACAGATTTTCTTTTCTTTTATAATAGTATATAGTAAAAAATACTCATCATTGAATGTTTAAACATTTTAAAATATCAAAGAACATATACAAAATATTAACTATAAAATTAGCATGTCTTTTTTATCTTTATTGGTTGGTTATTTTACACGTTATAGTGGGAAAAAAATGTTTAGAATAGATGTATAGAATAGATGTATCTAGCTGGGGATTTAGCTTAGGTGTGCCACGTGGCAATGGCAAGGTCCTGAGATCAATCTCTGGTATTAAAAAAAAAAAGTATGTATTGAGTATTCACTTACTTTATAATACCTCCTTCACCACTCTTGCAATCAGTATACTGTAATAAAGCTTAAGTCAGTGTGTAAGTTCTCTGTAGTTTTCTCACCAATTAATAGTTTTAAAACATTAGTTGTAATTAAAAATTATTTAGACTATTAATTAAAAATTGTGAAATAATTGAATTCACAATTTTAAGATGTCATTTTCATTTCAACCTATATTGATTTTTTAATGAAATATATACAGTGTACCCTATAAATTATATATTTCCCACCCCTCATAAAAACTAATGAATAATTTTCCAGTATTCTGAAGTCAGGCATTTTTCTCTTTAAATTGAAATGTGTTTAACACTTATAGGACCACAGTCGTTTACCTGAATCCCTTCGGCAAAATATATTTCATAATTCAGATTTTTCAGAAAAGACTGTGTAGTATAAACTAAGCTCAGAAAGGTCTAAGACAACACCCTATTATAAAACAGCAGTAAAACATTTAAATTTTTACTTTAAGAGGGAAAAATGACTGTTAATAGCGTCATGTCAGATCAGGCTGTTTCCCAAGCTAAAAAACTAGTTTTTAAAGAATATTGCAAGTTTGGAAATTGTAGGTCAGGCATATCTGGCCATGTTATGTAAATTGTTACTAAAATCATTTTTTTTTCGATCTTTTATAAATTGGTGTTGTCTTCATTTTTTTAATTTTTCAGGTCAGCCCTTCATAAACCCAGATGGGAGTCCAGTCGTATATAATCCTCCTATGACTCAACAGCAAGTTAGAACCCAAGTGCCTGGACCTCCACAGCCACCACTGCAACCCCCACCACCTCAACAACCAGCGGCTAATCACATTTTCTCACAGGTGCACATATCCATAATTATGTAATATTAAGTTCACCTGCCTTTGCATATTTGGGACTAAATTCACTAATTATAGTTGAGATATTCTAAGTAGGTATCTCGTAGAATTTTAATATTCTTTCATTGATATCCCAGTCGCAAAACATAGAAAGGATTATTTCGAAGGCTTTCAGCTAATATGAAAAATATACTGGAAAACAAGAAATGGTTTTATCTCATGGTCCTGGTTTTTATTACTATTTTACAACAAAAAATGGAAAAAAAGAGGAATAAACCAAACCAAACAGACCATTCTTTGTCTTGTAAGCATAGTAAATTGTTTTAAGAGTCAATAGATAAAGCAGTTAGAAGAAACTGAGATTTCTTCTTCCGTTCTCTTCCCCCTTCCTTCCTCTTCCCCCTTCCCTTCCCTCCCTCCCTCCCTCCCTCTCTCTTTCTCTCTCTCTCTCTC